GTAATGAATGATACAATGGAGAGCCACCCTATTTTGGGTGTTTGAGGTATGCTTTTTTTTTTTCTTTTTTTTCTTTTTTATTAGTTTATTTTTATTTTTGGTGAATTTTTTAAAGAAAATTTCAATATAAATGTTAGGCTTCTAGTTTTTATTTGGCAGAATGAACTAAAAAATTATTATTTTTTTTAATTTTCAAAAAAAAAAATTAGAAAAGAAAAAAACGTAAGCAAAAAATAGTAGGATTTTTTTTTCTTATTTTTTAAATTATCAGAAAAAAAGGTTACTTTTTAGATTCGTCTATACCACACAGACCAGAAAAAAAATTAAAAAATTGGCATAATTTTTTTTCAAAAAAAAAGAAAAAAGCCACGGAAAAGAAAATTTTAAAATGACTTATTTGGGAGATCCTAAATAACTAATTGTGAGTTACTTTCCCCTTGGAATTGAGTATTTAGTTTGTTGTTTATTTTGTAGTTGACAATTATAGTATATATTATTTTATAGGCGAGCTATAATCCAAATTGGTGTGCGTTGTCAACCTTTAAGGTGTTTCTTTATTCATGCCTGCTACATCTCCTAATTTCACTTTTAATTTTACTCCTAATGATATAGATGAAAATAAAGTTTGAGAGAGAGAAAGATAGGAGTGCGGGTGTGTCTTCATGTGGATGTTAACTACGTCATTGCAGGTGAAATTGGAGGGTCTCAATTAGGGGGATGAATCATTTTTCTTATTTATATATTTTTTGTTTGGTAAACATTAAGGTATTTAATTATGGGTTATTGTGTTAGTGAAACCAATCACCGCCACTACCTCTAGTTATCGTCTCCGACCACCGTCAACCAACTCTGACGATATTTTCTTGGTAGTAATTTTTGACAATTTGTTTGCCATTTGTCAAGAAAAATCAACATCTTCACCACATCACTCTCTCATACCTTCTCAGATTTGGTAGTAACAAGAGAAATGGAGAATAACTAGAAGTATTTAAAAATGATAAATTTATCACTGTATCAATATGTATCAAACCAGTTAATCACTTACTCGCTTTCCCTATCACACTCACACTGACATACATACACCCTCCCTTATTCAAATAAGCACATTCCACACTTACATATAAAAAATGAGTAGGACTAATAAATTTATCATTGTATCTAGATTTATCACTAATAAATGTTATCACTGATAAATTTATTACTGGATCAATATTATCAAATCAGTTAATCACTTACTCTCATTCACTATCACACTCACACTTACATACATGCACACTCCCTCACTTATTCATTCAAAAAAAAAAAAAACACGCATGCATGCATGCACTTACATATAAAAAATAGTGTCCTCAGTGATAAATTTATCACTGACACAAATTTCTCCAAACATTACAAGCAATTGACAAAGAGAATAAGAAAGTGAGGTTTGATGTGAAGAATCTTTGTCTCTTTCATCGTATCGTCATCATCACCATTTTACAAATCCAAAAAATAAAAGGGGGGATTTCAAAACAATGGGATAGACAAAAAAAAATTACAAAAATATGTGGGGTGCAAGTGTTTTTGTGATGGAGTGCAAGTAAAAGATTGTGGGAGTGCAAGTCACTTGCACCCCTCCATGTTTGTGTAAAAATTAAATAAAATAAAAATATCCCCCCCCCTCCCCCCAAAAAAAAAAGTGATAAAAAGCAAACCCAAATTAAAAAGCAAAAACATCTCTAATCAAGAAGATTTTTTAGATTCCAGGGTGGTTGTCAAGGTTTTTCTAGTAGATCTTTGATAATAAAGTGTAGATTGGTGATGGTAGAGTGTAGATCAGATATAGTAGAGCGTAGTCAAAGAAGATAGAGTGTAGATTATTTTCCCTCCAAAAAAATAAAGTGTAGATTGATGATGGTGGCGGTTGATCTTTGACAATAGTGGTAAATAGTAGAGTGTAGATCGACGATAGTGAAGGTGGTTGGTGAGCAATGGTAGCAGCAGCCGGTGATGGATGGATGGTGGTGGTAGGTGTGGTGATGGTGGCGATGTGTGGTAGTGGTGTGAAGCTTTAGATGAGAGAGAGAGAGAGAGAGGTTCACACCACTAGAAAAACATATTAGAGAGAGAAGAGAAGAGAAGAATAGATATTTAATGAGGATAATATAGACATTTCAGGAGTTATTGGTGCATTTAAAAATTTAACAAGAAGTATTTAAGTCCATTTAATGGGACTAGTGAGTAATTAACATTTAAGGAAAACTAAAATACATTTGTTAGTTTAAGAACACTAACACTTTTTTTTTTTTTTTTGGATCAGACCACCCTTAATTTAGTTTCATTATTCTATTATCCCTTACTAGCACCGCTACTACCATTTCCGGCCATTGCCTTTGGTTGCAGGCCACCACCTCCGGTCGCCGATGACCTCGGTCAATTGCTAGTGACACTTTTCCTACGAAGTGAAATTTCACTCTCTAAGCCATTAAAATTTCATTGATTTTCAAAACATAAAATTTTCAATTAATACCTAAAAGTATAGTATTTTTGTTTTTGTTTTCTTTTTTTTTAGTTAACATAGTTATATATAAAAAAAATTCACAATTCAACAAGAATATTTTTAATTAATGATTAAAAGTTATAAAATTGAAAGTTAATTAAATTTTGAATCTCTTACTTAGTGAAAAATCATCGAGTCTTTTACTTTGAATCCAATAAAGTTGCACGAGGTTAGAGAAATTACACTAACTTTTAGTCTAGGTCAATGAAATTTCTTTGACCACTAACTTAGGTAATTTTACATATTTTACCTAAGAAAAGCAATAAAATAGATCTTTTTATACGTTTTCTCACCAAAAAACAATTCTAGATCACCTATGTCACTACCTGCTATTGTCAAACACTGATTGTTCCCAGTCGGAATGTTGGTATCTTCCACATCATTGTTCAATGGTAATGAATAGTGCAAGGACATAATTAGATCGGATGATAAGCAGTCTCATTGGTTCTTTTAGGTGGATCCGGTGAAAGAGTTGCTAGAGATAAAGATATAGAGAGAAGAGAACTATATGCATAAGGGGGGAGAGAGAGAGAGAGAGAGGTACAAAGAGACACGATAGAGAGAGTTCAATATTTTTTATGTTTGTAGGGGTAGTTTGGTCTATTTATGTCAAACTTTTTCATTATTCTTCCACAATTTGAAACATTAGCGACTATAATTAGCAAACAAGTTATTATTGTTCTTAAACTCTTACGCAAACTTTTAGAGTGATATACCTCCCTAATTTTCCCTTTTAAATGCCCACTGGTGGTATACATGCTTGGGCGGTACATAATTAGGTTTAATTGACCTCACTAGATATTAAAAATATCATTGAATTTTTTTATAAATATATAAAATTGAAATTGTAGGCGATTTACCAATTAGTAGCCAAAAAAATATGTTGAAAATTGGATGCCTGTGGTGACTACAAATTTAGTAATGAAAGAAAATAATAAAATAAAATAAAAAAAGAAGCTATCTTTGCACTACCAAAGAAATTTGATCCCTAAAGGCATCAGTTAGATTGCTAGCTACTAAATGTTTAGTCGTAAAATACAACAGCGACTAAAATATTTGATCGTGAAATGTAATGCTATTGGTGAAATCAAACATATTAAAAAAAAATTGGTGCCTAAACTTTTAGTCACTAATTGTTATGCATTACCTACAAAAAAAATAAAATAAATAAATAAATGAAATAAAACTTAGTCGCCAAATACTTTGCCCAACAATTGGTCAACGACTTACCGGGTGACTAAATAATTTAGTTGGTACACATTTGGCAACTATAATTGGAATTAAGTCCAAAAGTGCTATTTGTTGTAATGTTAGTTTATAAAATTTGACCTCGCTACAATTAGTTTAGAGTAAATGGACCGTTTAAACAAAAAAAATAATTTTAAAGGGACTTACGTGCAAGTCGCAATAGCTGGATTTATTGTCCAATAAATCCTGTAATAATTAGTGACGTTTTTTATTAAAAAGAATCACTAATTGTTAGTTAGCAACAGTTTAAAAATATCGTTACAGAAAAACATCGCTAATTGTTAATTTTTCATGATAGATTTAGAAAATCGTCACAAAAAATGTCGCTAATTGTTAATTTTTAGCAACGGATTTAGAAAATCGTCACCAAAAGTATTTTTTAGCGACAATTCTGATAGGGCCAACTTTTAGCGACGAATTTGACAAGACTTAATAGTATCTGCTAGTAATTTACCCTTAATTGTTATTCCTACAACCTCCACTATAATTAACAGTTGAGTAATTTTGTTAAATGATCTAAGATTGTAAGTAAGAATTTTGTTTGCTACTTTTATATTTTTATTAATTTCTTTCAATAGTTGAACATGTATGAATTTATATTTATTTGCCTTATTGATTAATTTAAGTTTTTTTAGTAATTGCAACAAGAACTATTCAACAATGATTTATTAAAAAAATCAATTGCACAATCGAATGGAAGATTAGCTGAGTAATGATTGTTTGGTCATGTTATTTGAAAACAATGTATTTTACAGTATAATTGTGAGATAACTATTCAATAATTTCAAAATATGAAAACTTGTAGAGGGTTCTGTACAAAGTTATGTATTTACTGTTTTTTTGGTAAACATTTTCATTTATTTTTCATTTGAGAAATTTAAATTATCCTTGTCAAATTAATTGAAATAAATTATAGATATTAATATGAATCAATGGTGTCACTGACAAAAAATTCAAGAGCCACCAGATGGAATGCATTTCTCCACTTTATTGGCAACCAAACATGACAGTTTTGTATGGTTTAGTATAATATGCAGATACTACGATTGAAATCCAGTTCATACATACTAGGCCCTATTATGATGTTTATTTTGGATAAAATTATCTTTCACCTTTCACCTTTTGTTTCTTTTCTGTTTTATTGTAATTAAATTAGCATGCATGCTTCTTACTATTGTTCTTACTTCATTTTCTTTTATCTTTGTAATCACAGAATCTTCCGCACCAAGTGTTTCACCAGCAACTCACACTCCTGCAACTCCTTCTAATAGTGAGTTTTTAATTCCCTTTAATATACACGCACATGTTTACACACACACAAATTTTAAATTTCGAAATAAATACATACTTTAGAGGCCACAAAGAATTACTTTTAAGGATCTATTGCTGTTAATTAATTTCCAAGCCCATGAACCAAGACCATGGGAGTCCTAAACCATTGTAATTTTGTGGTCTTTGGTTTGGCTTGCAAACTGTGAAGGTATGAGAGGCGATCACACTGTAAGTTGGTTTGCTGGTTTGGTGGATCCTCTCACACCCAATTCATCACCTCAATGGTCTTGGTGAGAAAATCTTCCTGCAAGAGGAAGAAGGATTGTCCAGGGAAATGTTTGAATTCAGACCACCATACAACACAACTCTTTGGATTCATATTTTGGGATTTTGTGGATTTGGTTGATCTTTCTGGTTATCTGCTTTCATTTTGGGATGAGAGCTCTTTTATGATGTTTGGATTTTATGAGGATAGAGGTATTTGTTTTGTTTAGTGTCATGGTTTTTTAATCAGAAAGCAGTAGAGTTAGGCTTGGAACCTAAGAGATTATTTTGGAAGGACATGTCCATTTTAGTAGACTTTGGACAACTGCTCTGTTTCTATTGCCCATTTTTTCAGTGGACTGCTCGAGTGAGGCTTTTTGGTGTCCGTCTTGAGTTTAGTATGTTGGTGTTCTATTGCTGTGGTTAGTTGCAGAAGTCTTGAGTTTAGGTGCATAGCTGTGGTTTTGGGTGTATTCATTTTAATGTTTTGGTAGTGTTTGTTTGGATTGGTTTGGAATTCTCTCTTGTTTTGCTTGGGGCGGCTTAACCTAACTTTGTTAGATTGTGCTTCTTAAGCAATTATGTTTTTCTCGAACTTCTCCATGTAATTTGTTGTATTGCTTGTACTACTTATTTCATCAATAATTTTTTATTTTGCCGAAAAAAAATAAAAAATAAAAAAACTCTTCATGGAAGGGATGTGCCTGCCTAAGCTATTTCATCATCATCATCTTCTTCTTCTTCTTTTTATTTTAGGACTAAGAATAGACTAAAATTGAAGCAAACTTGAATTTTATACTACTAGAATGATTTTTACCAATGTTGTCTATAAATGTAGACAATTCCTTTTCAGTTATTCAGGTATAGGGTCCATGTCACATAAGCTTCTCTAAATGTGGAGTCAAGGTGTTGTGAACATTTCATCTTTTTCAAATCCTGTTTTAATTGGAACTTGAAACCTCGTGCAATGAATCATCTTTTTAGTGTTGATTGTAATCTTCATTTTAAGTGTACTTCCTTTAATTCCAATTTCCTTTTTAATTTTTTTCTTTCCCCATCTGTCCGTTGTGTGTTTTCAGGTACATCTCCAAGTAACACTACTACTACAACCGCAAACAATGCAGCTAATTGGATTCCATATTTTGGTGGATCATCTTTCATCCTTGTCATTGTGAATTTATTTCTTGCAGCAATCTAGGATTGTCATTCATTCCAAAAGTGAAACATTGCTTTGGAATTTTCTCATAAATGGCACTGATGATTTAATCGGAAATGTTGAACTGCTTTAAGTTGCCTCCTAAAGACACTTGGTTTGTACTATACCAGAATTGTTTGGATTGTGGTAGTTCTAGTTTTATGTACAAGCCTTTATTTCATATTCGATAACAAATTGTCATGCGTTTCTATACATAACAAGCTTAATTAATAGTTTGTTTCAATGACACAAGTCACAAAAAGAACTCCCAAATCATATGTTTGAGAAATGACCATTGAAATTTTATTTTTTCGTGTATTTAGAAATAAAAAGTGGTGAGACGTTCAAAACACACATCGTTTTCATATCATTTTTTTTTAATCTTTGTGAGAAAATAGTTTTCAAATTTGAAATCAAGATTTTGGTGTTTCCTAATTAGTGAATTGTTCTTGTATTTCTTTCCCAAAAATGGTTTTTGAAAACAATTCACCAAACTGTGTTTTCTAGAAGTTGAAAGGGTTTATTACACTTTAGATTCCTAAATTATTGTCAAATTGTCTATTTAGTCCATAAATTATCGATTATGTCTACTATGCTCCTAAAGTACGTAAATCAAAATATATTTAGTCCATAAACTATCGATTAAATTCATTATGTCCCCAAAGTGTTTAATTCAAACTTATTTAGTCCCTAAAAGGATTACAAAAATGAAATATACAAGTTGGCGAGATGATCTACCGAATCTCTAACGCGCATAAGAATGAAGTGCGCCGACTTAGTCAACCGGTCTACAACCACCCAAATGGCATCACTACCCCGCTGAGTCCTCGGAAGACCTACAACGAAGTCCATAGTGACATGCTCCCACTTCCACTCGGCAATAGGCAAGGGTTGCAACAAACCTGCTGGCCTCTGATGCTCGGCCTTCACTTGCTGGCAAGTAAGGCACTTAGACACGAAAACAACCACATCTCTCTTCATACCACGCCACCAAAACTGGCGACCTAAATCCCAATACATCTTAGTGCCTCCCGGATGCACCGCAAAACGTGAATGATGGAACTCTCGGAGTACTTCCTCTCGGCAAGACTTCGGCACAAACAAACGGTCTCAGTATCTCACACTCTGGTTGGGATACACCGTCAAACCCTTCTCAACCTTCCCACTGGAGATCTTCTCTCGGAGGGATTCTACCTCAAGGTCACCTCTCTGTGTCCCTAACACTCGAGTCACAAGTGTAGGCTGCGCAACAATAGAAAACAAGGCCGCAGCCTCAACAGATTCGCCCAGAAGCAAATCAAACTCGCCAAGTGCATCCAACATCTCCCATTCCTGGATGGCTATACAAGCTACATCACTAATGGGTTCCTTACTAAGGGCATCGGCCACAACATTGGCCTTTCCCGGGTGATAGTGCAACTCAAAGTCATAGTCCTCAATAAACTCCATCCATCTCCTCTGCCTCAAATTCAAGTCTCTCTGTGTAAACAGATACTTCAAACTCTTGTGGTCCGAGAACACCTTGAACCTCTCACCATAAAGATAGTGCCTCTAAATCTTTAAGGCGAAGATCACTGCTGCTAACTCTTGGTCGTGTGTAGGGTAATTCTTCTCATGTATTTTCAACTAACGTGAGCCATAAGCTACCACTTTCCCTTCTTGCATCAACACACCACCCAAACCCTCTCGTGAGGCATCACAATAAACCGCATAACCCAACCCTCTCTCCGGAATAATCAAAACCGGAGCGGTGGTCAATCTAACTTTCAACTCCTGGAACGACTTTTCGCAAGTCTCACTCCACACAAACTTGACCCCTTTCCGCATCAATCTAGTCAACGGCGAAGCTAGCCTGCAGAAATCTTTCACAAACCGACAGTAATACCCAGCTAATCCCAGAAAACTGTGGATCTCAAACACACTCTTAGGTTGTGCCCAATCTTGCACTGCTTCTATCTTGGATGTATCAATAGACACCCCTTCCCCGGACACCACATGGCCTAAGAATTTTACCTCTCCTAGCCAGAACTCACACTTCCCAAACTTGGCATATAACCTATGGGCTCTAAGCAATTCAAGCACCACTCTCAAGTGTTCCTCGTGCTCCTCCTCAGAAGGCGAATAAATAAGAATGTCGTCCACGAAAACGACCACAAACTGATCTAAGAATTCCCGGAAGATCCGGTTCATCAAGTCCATAAAGACTGCTGGTGCATTGGTAAGCCCGAACGGCATTACCAGAAACTCATAATGGCCATACCGCGTGCGAAATGCCGTCTTCGGAATATCCTCCTTCCTAACCCTCAATTGGTGGTAACCCGATCTCAAGTCTATTTTAGAGAAACAACGGGAACCCTTCAACTGGTCAAACAAATCATCTATACGGGGCATCGGGTACTTATTCTTAACCGTAGCTCGATTCAACTTTCGGTAGTCGATACACAATCTCAAGGCACCATCTTTCTTTTTAACAAAGAGGGCCAGTGCTCCCCACGGCGAAACACTAGGGTGAACAAAACCCTTATCTAGCAATTCCTGGAGCTGAATCTTCAACCCACTCAACTCGGCTGGGGCAAAACGATAAGGTGCCATAAAAATCGGCGCTGTGCCGGGCACTAAATCAATAGAGAACTCTATCTCTCGATGAGGTGGCAAACTGACGAGATCCTCGGGAAAAACATCCGAATACTCACAAACCACCCTCGGCACTACAATCTGGGTCTCATCACACTCACCACTCATAAAGCTAGCAAGTAGACCACTAAACTTATTCCACCCTCGCGGATCATACATCGATGGCAACACACTACCAACCCGATCCCCCAAGAAATGGAAACACTCCCTGCTCAAGGTACAAACTGTGACCCTCTGACGGTAGCAATCGATAATAGCCCGGTATGATGATAGCTAGTCCATACCCAAAATAACAGCAAAACCCTTCATGGGTATGACAACAAAACGAAAAGGAAGCCTATGGTCGGCGACCTCTATATCACAACCTCTACATCCGTGTTTCAAAATCAATTCACCCCCAACAGGTGATACAACACAAATAGGAGATGCTAACTGTGCCAACTCCAACTCCAACACAGATGCGAATGCAGCAGATACAAAAGAATGAGATGCACCCGTATCAATCAATACACTAGCAACCGAGTTGCAAAACAGAAAAACTTCTATCTTTAATGATGGAGCAGTACTAGGTCTCAGCGCGTAAACACCTGACACGCGCCCTGTAGGCCCCTGATCCACCTGCTCACCTCTAGGAGCAACAAGACTACTGCACTGACTGGGATGACGAAGCTCCCCGGATTGGCCTTCGAGCTGAGCTGGCTGATAACTCTGCGTCTGCCTAGAACCAGACGCTCCTGAAGTGGCACTCAACTGTGGGCAATACCTCTTCAGGTGCCCAGGTTGACCACACTGATAGCAAGACAAAGGCTGGCCCTTGTCCTGACTCTGGCCCTGAGGTCTAGCTGAAGAAGAAGCAGCTCGCTGACCCCCTCCCTTCTGCGGGCAAACCGACGACTTGTGACCTAGCTGGCCACACGCAAAACAAGTCAAGCCTCCCTAATTACCTCTCTCGGAGCCTACACTCGGCACTAGGAAGGTCGATCTAGCCAAACCACCCTGAGACTGCTGAGGGTTAGAACTCCTCTGTCTCCTGCCATCACCCTAACCATCTTGGCTCCTCTTGGAGCCTCTCTACCCTTCCTCCTCCTCCTGCATCATAATCTCCATTTGAGCTGCAGCATCCACCAAACATCTATACTCTCGAATAACGGACCCTCTAACCCTCAACTTGAGTCCACGTCTCAACTTCCGCTCAAACTCAAAGCAACGGCGCTCCTCAGACGCCACAAGTTTAGGTGCAAACCTGGACAGACTAGTAAAAGTAGCCTCAAACTCGGCCACTGACAAGCCCTGCTGTTTAAGCTGGCAAAACTGCTCCTTCAGCTTCTCCCTAGCAGCTGAAGATAAAAACTTCTCCTGGAAAGCATTAACAAACGCCTCCCATGCACCACCAACACTGCCCTTCTCGTACTTCCACCACTGACCCGCATCTCCCTTTAGTTGGAAGGATGTCAAGGTCACCTTTAAAGCCCCGTCATCGATGCCAAGCATCTCGAACGTCTTCTCCATCTGTTCCAACCACTCGTCAGTCTTAAGTGGCTCATTCGGATCCCCAACAAACTCGTTCAGATTGGACCGGAAGAATTCCCTTTTCAAGAAGGAAGGCCCTGCCTCAGCTGCGTGGGCCTGTTCTTGATTGCCTGTTCTTGATTCCCTGCTCTAAGAATACCCAAAGCTCCTGTTATCTCTCGGGCCAAGGCACTCATAGCCTGCTGACCCGCTGGCTCGGCCACATTGGCCTAACCAACTCCCTCCTGCTGTGCCGGAATATCATCCGGTAAAGGCATCTCCTGCCTACCACGCCTACCACGTCCTCGTCCTGACACCCTAATAAAGGTAACCAAGACCATTAGCACATTCACAAATGTGCCGAAGCTATAACACTCTCGTCTTAATGCATAAACAACTGAAATTCACTCCACATAAGCACATAGTCACATAAGCAATTACGAATTTCATTTCCGGATAATGATAGTCCCGAGGCGTTAATAGAGTTCCGGTTAGAAACAACATTGATCAAGTGCTTTTCCAACAAGACTCCCAGAAACCCAAGGATCCAATCAACATCCTAGAAACTACGTTCCATACCCACATAGTCACATAAACATGTTATCATATAAGCACATAACACTACATCTAAGTCTCTATCAAGCGAGACAAACCCATTGTGATCCTAATCACTTCCCACGTAGCCAAAGTATTCGAACCCGGTAGCTCTGATACCAAGTTGTAACGCCCTCAAAATAATACATAAAACCCATCACTTTAGACATGCATTGATATAAAAGAAACCAATCATTTCTATTCATCAGAGTAATTCTTACAACTGTATTACATGCTAACAATAAAAGCAAATGCCCTATGGGCTTACAGCTTTCCAAGTCAACACCTGGTTACACAAAAAAAGAGTACTAACTCTATACAAAATAAGCCATTGGCTTGATATACATGTAATACAAACAAAATAAACAAAAAGAGTCTTTAACTCTCATCATCATCCAAGCTATGTCCTTGGAGGTGGCATACTACCTGTACCTGAAAATAATGTCCCATAATGGGTGAGCCAACGCCCAGTAGAGATATCCTAAACACAGTATGAGCAATAACTAAGACATGAGCAATTGATAAATGTTCAATTTCCATAAATCAATTCATAACTCATTTCCATTTGATGACCACTATGTTCATGTTTCATTTCAGTTTCCATTTCTTATCAATTTCATAATTTACATTAACGGCTCAGAACCTGGCCAACCACTTATATGAGACAGTGACTCATATTAAACGTTTCCCATTTCACAATAGATAAACATACTAGTTGTATCAACATCTCAACAGATAAGCATACAAGCTGTATCCACATTTCAACAGATATGCATATTAGCTATACCAACACTTCCAAAGATAAGCATATGAGCTGTATCAACACATTAACTGACAAGCATATGAGCTGTATCAATGGAGTCCATTCCATATCTCCTCCTAAACAACATCCGGTTTAGAGGTCCATCCCCTATCTTCCCCTAAACGGTGGAGTACGTCCCCTATCTCCTTCCACACACACAACGTATATACACATAGGTCATATACACAATCAATTAATACATAACGTTAATGTATTCTAACAACCGTCATACTCTATGACATATCCAATTGATTAGTTTTAGTTTGCCTAATCATCATACATTGTCTACAACAATCAAAACTACCCTCCACCGGTAGCCCAAGCAATTATTTCTAAGCAGATAATAAAAGCTCCAACAGATAAAATATCAATGTTTTCAAAAGTGAGCAATTAATAAATCCAACTCCACTATTCTACTATATAATTAGCCAATTTCATTATTTCCAACTCAATTCCATATAACCACAATTTTTCTAAATTAATCATATCAATTAATTTATACAATCAATTAGGGTTTTCTACCCCATTTCCCAATATTGACCCAATGGTCTATATATCAACAACCAACAACAATATCATTATTTTGAAACCCATAATACACATTTTAGAATCAAAATAACAAAATCCTCTTTTAACATTTTGAAACCTTAAGTCCCAAAATTACCTAACTTCAACACTTTATCAAAACAACCAAAAATCTATGTCAAAGACCATAAGAGTGAGTAGGAATCCTTACCTCAAAAGATGACACCCAAAGAAGAAGATGACGAAAACGAAGTTGCTCTAAATCACAAGTTTAATGTAGCCATCGATGATCAACCCAACTTTTACAAAGGCCAAAGGGGAGGGAAGCACTCTAACTAGATCAAACCCTAGAGAGAAGGGAGTTTCTAGAGAGAGAAGCTCTCAAATGGTGGTTTGGAAAAGTAAGAAAGAGAGAGGAAGTGTAGAAAAATGATTCAAAAATGCCCAGCTGCCCTTTGTTATACGACATTCCCGCTCGAGCGGAGAACACAACGCTCGAGCGTCAAGAACAAAAAAACTAGGTCCGCTCGAGCGCAAGAAAGTCTGCTCAAGTTCCAAGACACAAGAATAAAGTACATCCGCTTGAGCACGAAAACCAGTCCGCTCGAGCGTAGATTTCCCCCTCCCAGAACCTACACCAAAAAAGTACTACCCGTTCGAGCGCGACCGCTCGAGCGTGAAAAACATGCTTGCAGAAGTTTCGCAAAGCACCAAAATACTGGGAGTGTGCAATCTCCGCCCGAGCGCAAGAATACCCGCTCGAGCGAACCTCTTAAAAACTGGGCAACAAGGAATTGAAACCAAAGTCTAACCAACTTGTAACAACTTTGCCCAACACATCCTAAAACTCAATCAAGTGGAATTAAAGGATGACAACAAGGTATACAACCACCAACATCACGGAACCAAAGTCCGGAAAATAACAGATACAGAAAGGGAAAACCGGGATCGCTATAATAGCGATAAGTTTTAAATACTCAAGAGTCCCCCAAAATACTCTAAGCAAACCAAAACCAAAAGAAACCAAGGAAAATAGAAATTATTACAAGGAAAAACTCAATGAACGTCAAGATACTGAACCAATACAAATGCTCTGTTGAAGAACGTCTTTTCTAATGAAATATGATTTCTGACGTGCTCTGATTTTCCATCTGTTTTACCACACAGGAGCTGCAAGAACTGCACTCAGCTATGGAAGAAGCTAGAGCTGATATTGTTGGCCTCTGGGCCCTACGATTTCTAATTGGTCAGGTCAATAACTATTTATTTGATTAAATTTTACTGTGATCTCTTAATCATGTCTACAAGATCATCTTGCACTTGTGCTTTACCTGGTGCAACTATTTTACTACATCAGTAGGATAATGGCATTCTCTAGTATCTAAATGTGCTTTTTGATTCTGTTCAAACCTCGTGTCATGTTTTTATTGTGTACATGTAGTTTATTAGGATTTGGAAAATAAGTAAAAAAACGCTTTGATGTGGCCGTACTTTTACCAGGTAGAGATTGGAAACACAAATATCTATTCAGAATCATGGTATAATTTACTGAAAACTTTTTATTTTTTATTTTTATAAATTAATTTACTGAAAACTTTTAGTCTTATGGAAGTCAACAAAATTATTTCTTTATGTAGTTTATTGATAAACAGAAGTATTAAAACATGGATAACATGGATTTTTTTTGTTGGAAACTTTTTTTCCTTCAGATGTTCATTTTCATGAACAGAAAGGAAAGGACGAAGTTGTGAACATAGAATGATGATTTTAAATCTGTTTTCTATGTTTCACTTGAGACTCTTTGGCTCCGTTTGTTTGGGATTATTGGAAGGGGATTGGGACTTTTAATACCTTGGTATTATTAATACCTTGTTTGTTTTGAGAGATGACCTTGGACTACTAATACCTTGGTATTACTAATACCCTTGGAAGGGGGATTCATAGTGAGGAGGTAGAGATGATATTAAAAAAATAGTGAGGGGATTAGAAATTTTTTTATTTTTTTTATTTTTTATATATTGGGAATTTTTTTTTAAATATTAATGTTTAATTTTTATATTTTTTTATTTGTTTTATTATTTTATATAAAAATAATTTAACAATTTCTCACTATTAATCCCCTCACTATCAATCCCCTCACTATCAATCCCTTCAATTCTATCTTTGAAAACAAACGGGCCTTTGGGTACATTTTTTCTTATATATTTGGCCACATGATAAGCTACTGTAGTTGTGATGGTTCTTTGATGATGATGGATCTTGGAACTGGAACCAGTACATTTAAAATGCTATGAAGGATTTTCAGTTATTCTAGTTGATTTTGCTTGGCTACTAAAAATTTAAAATGCTCATTCAGTTTTATGAATCAGGGACATCTAGGCATGTGTTGATGAATTTCATGTCAAGTTGTTTTGCAATGTGGGCATTAGGAATCTAACATTGAGCAACTTCAAGACTTCTGTTTTTCAAAAAAATAATAAACTTGCTTCAGTGTAAATAAGGCCTGTAAAGTGGTATTAACAAAATTTCTTGTATGATTAATTTTGTACTAATCTATCATTTGCTGCAGTATTTACATGTATCTTGAAACTTGATCAAGTATTAGTCTGTAGCTCTCCATAAGCTTATGATTTTGTATGGGATGCATTTTTAATGCTGCTTGGTGCATGATTTATGGAATGCCAATAGTGAGTAGCACATATGGATTTCTGGTCTGTTTTTTTTTTTTTTTTGAACTGATGTTTCAGTTAGTATGGGTTCTTGAAGGACTAATATGTATATATTAATCTATGTTGTATGTATTCAAATTGAACATCAAATAGAGCAACTAGATTCATGTGTTTGAATTTCTGTTTATTATTAGGATTACTTGTATATAATTCTTAAAAGATCTTTTCTTATATAACTTATTTTTAAGCTGAGATGGTTCCACTTGAAGGGAGCTTATGTACTGAGTGAGTTCAATCACTATAAGAATTTTCACTTTTGGTGACTAAATTTTTAGTCGCCAAAAGTTAATTTTTAGTCGCCAAATGGTTTTAGCGACTAAATTATTTGGTTGCAAAAGTAGTTTCCAAAAAATTGTCAGTAAAGGTAATTAGCGACTAAAATTATTTTAGCCGCCAAATGTATACAATTTCCGACTAAAATTTTAGTCACCAAAAGGTTGGACATTAAATTAGACCCTTTTCGGCGACCAAACTTTTAGTCGCCTAAAGTCTCACATTTTTAGTTACTAAAATTTTAGTAGGCAAAGAGTTCTTCTTTTGGCTACTAAAAATTTAGACGCCGAAAGTCTTACATCTTTGGCTACTAAATTTTTGGTCGGCAAAAAGTTTCTCTTTTGGCTACTAAATATTTGGTCGCCTAAAATTCTACATTTTTGGCTACTAAAACTTTAGTTGGCAAAAGCGGTTTTATCCTTTAGTTTTTTGTTTTTAGCTACGAAATATTTTAGTTGTCAAATGTTTGATTTTCTTTTGGCTATTAAACTTTTAGTCGTCAAATGTCTTTTTTTTTCTTTTTTTTTTCTACAAAACTTTTAGTCACCAAATGTCTTTTCCCAATTTCTTTTTAGCTACTAATTGTTTAGTTGCCAAAAACATGATATTATGTTTTATTGCAAAATTATAATTTTTCCACAATCTATCAATATTCAATGCAACCTGTAATACGTATATAAACAAAATGATATATACTATCAATCATTCCACAATCTGCATGCATGTACCAAAAATAAATAACTTTAAATATCAAAGTCCATAAAATCAACTATTGTCCAAACTAAAATAATAATTCCATATAAAATAATCATACAAAAATCAAAGCCCTTTATATATAAAAAAAAATATATTTACTACCAAGTGAAATTACCATTTGGCATGGTACATGTAACGCCCCAAATTTCTAGTTCAAATGATAATAAAACAATCATGGCTCTTTAAAGAAAAACCGAATATAAATATCCGAATTTACATTATATGATACAATAGTTCTTCATACAACATTGGTTATACAAAACGGTCATTCAAACCCACACACATACAGTCTTTGGCTTACACACAAAGTCACATCAAAATGAGAGTCTTGTACTCTCAACACATATTTTTCTCATCTCTAGTTAGGCTCACCACATCTTTTCCTGCATAAAAATCCCGTAGGATGAGCATAAAGTCCAGTACGAAATCCTTAACAAAGTATATATATTTAATACAAGTCTCAAGAGATGAAATGTACATGCCGTGCTATGGCATTTTGAAAGAAAATCACATATTCATCTTTGAAAACCATCATGCTCAATGATGTCATGCAATTTTAATTCTTTAAAACTTAACAATTCATTTCAAGATCGGTAAATGCGACTCTAGTAATCCCTAGGTTGGTGTCTGCAAGTAGACTATACAAGTACTATCAATTTGTCATTTTTACTAGTATTAATTGGAAGACTCGACACCTATAATCTGTTATTTTTACCAGTATTAACTGGAAGGCTCGACACCTATTCAATTTCATTTACACCACCGTATTTACCCCAAAACCAATTCGTGGAAACTTGCTTCTCAACATTCTTTTCTCAATACAAGTTTTCAAATCAACTTTCAAAGTTTAATGTAATCAAATGAATTGATATGCCAATAACACAAGATAAATATAAATATTTTTATTCCAATTCATCATCTAAGGAATAACACAATTTCTTCTTCTCAAGTATCCTCAACAATTAGTCATTTTAAGACTATTTCAACGTTTTGAACAAAAATTTTCAAAATGAACAACAATTCTCATATTTCCTGAAATTCATCATTTATATAAATATAAATAAAAAAATTTCTAAACATCCATTTATTTTGACACACAAAATAAATATAACAATCTCATTCATGAATTTTCAGTCTCTTAAAAAAACACCCCCAAATTCTAGGTTTTCTCACCAAAACTATACAACTCAAATCTTTTGAAAGAAAACTTTCCAAAATCATTTTTTCTTCAATGAACAAAGATCAAAACCCATAAGATCATTTTAAAAGATCATTTTTTCTTCAATGAACAAAGATCAAAACCCATAAGATCATTTTAAAAGAATAAGAGACAAATCTACTTTCAAAATCTCTCAACTTCTTGAATTAACAATGAATTTTCAAAACAATTGAAGGATGATTTCGAAAATCATCTAAATCTTGTAAATATATATATATATATAACTCTAAGAAAATCCCTACCTCAAGTTTTGAAGAAGAAATGAGATGAAACTCTCAAAATCAACGGTGTCGAAACTCGATCTTCACCACACACAACGAAGCCCTCGAGAAGTTAACCAACTTTGATGAAGAATCTATGACAGAACTCTAATGGATCTTGAGAAATCAAGGTTTTGATCCAATTTGGCGTAGGGAAATGTAGAGAGAAGGGAGAGGAAATGTTTTTAGAGAGAGAGATACACAAAAGTGATTTGAAATATCATATTCATGAACTGATATAACATGATCCGCTCGAGCACGGAAAGCCCCACTTAAGTGTCGAATACACTTTCCCAGTACTTTTGTAGACAGGTCAAACTTCTGGAACCAAACATTCTCCGCTTGAGCGCATAAACGGCCGCTCGAGCGAACAAGCAACTTCGAATGCATTTTGCATTTTTGCTTCGGGGGCGCTGCCCTCGGACCTGCCAAGGGGCGCTGCCCCCTGCACCCCTGCGAGCTGACCGGGCAACTCGATCCCTGACCTGCCCAGTCGAATTGGCAAAATATGAAAGAAGGGTCGAAACCGGGATCGCTACAACCTTCCTCCCTTAAAGAATTTCGTTCCCAAAATTTCAAATAAACTACCCAAACAAAGGGGTTTTTAGCGATTAAAATCACGCTATTTCATTTTCAAATCACAATACTAACTCTCAACTAAATTTCACCATTTCCACCATGGTTATCTCGTTAACAACAACATCCCAAATACTCATAAATATGAAATTTCCTAAAAAATAATGGCAACTCTCAACAACCTTATGCTTAAAACAACAATGCACATATCAACATGTGGTTAACAACTTTAAATACGTCTCCCTCAACATTAGGGAATATTACAAAGAAAAGCAACTTAAACATTTTCAAACAAATCTGGTTATTTGGAGCGGACTTCCGCCTCCCGTTTCCACTTCACTTCTTCAACCCCATGGTGTCTCCACAACACTTTTACCAACGGTATAGTTTTGCCCCATAGCACTTACTCCCGAGTATCTAATATTTGAACCAGTTGTTCTTCGTAAGAGACATCCTCATCTACCTCCAAGTCAACCCAATCAAGAGCATGAGAAGCGTCGGGTTCATACTTCCTAAGCAGAGATACATGAAATACGTTGTGAACTCCCGAAAGTTGTGGCGGTAAAGCTAACCGGTATGCCACTTCCCAAATTCGCTTTAAGATCTCAAAAGGCCCAATGAACCTTGGAGATAATTTGCCATTCTTACCAAATCTCATCAAACCCCGCCTTGGTGAGATTTTTAGAAACACATGGTCACCAACTTCAAAAATAAAGGTCGTCTCCTCTTATCAGCATAACTCTTTTGTAGGCTTTGGGCCGTAGCTAACCTCTTCCGAATGAGAATAACTTTTTCGGTTGTCTCTCTAACAATTTCCGGACCCAGTAACGGTGCATCACCCACTTCGGCCCAACAAACCGGTGATCTACAAGGTCGGCCATACAAGGCCTCAAATGGTGTCATCCCAATACTAGCTTGGTAACTGTTGTTATAAGCAAACTCAATCAATGGTATGTGCCTTTCTCAAGGCCCTTTAAAATCAATGACACAAGCTCTAAGCATGTCCTTCAAAATTTGAATGGTACGTTCCGACTGTCCATCGGTTTGAGGATGATAAGCGATGCTAAGAGTCAATTTAGTTCTCAACGCCTCTTGAAGGCTTTGCTATAACCGGGCAGTAAAACGAGGATCCCTATCCAACACAATAGTCACAAGGACTCCATGAAGTCGAACTATCTCTCTAGTGTACAACTCTGCCAAGCATTCAATTGAGTCGCTGGTGCATTTCGGAATGAAATGGGTAGACTTAGTCAACCTATCAACAGTCACCCAAACGGCGGCATTGCCTCATTGTGTTCTAGGAAGCCTAACTACAAAATCCTTGGTAACATGCTCCCATTTCCACTCGGCTATCGGTAAGGGTTGTAGCAAACTCGCTGGTCTTTGGTGTTCGACCTTCACTTGTTGACAAGTAAGGCACTGCGATACAAATAAAGCGACATCCCGTTTCATACCCCTCCACCAAAACTGACGACTAAGATCATGATACATTTTAGTGCCTCCCAGATGTACCGCAAGGTGTGAGTGATAGAATTCCCGAAGTACTTTCTCTCTACAAGATTCTGGTACAAACAAACGGTCTAGGTAACGTACACTCATAGCCAAGTGTACGTTCAAACCTTTCTCTTCCTTCCCATTGGAAATCTTAACACGGATTGATTCCACATCACGGTCTTCTCGTTGTGCCTCTATGGCCTTACTAACCAAGGTAGGTTGAGCATTCAAAGTAAACAAGGTAGCACTCTCTCTAGACTCAGTCAAGTGCAAATCAAACTTGGCAATAACATCTAGCATATCCTATTCCTGAATGGCCACACTTTCCAAACTACTCACAAATTTTCGACTCAAAGCATCGGCCACCACAATGGCCTTCCTTGGATGATA